TCGCGGGGGGGGGGGCAGATCCTCAGAAGCCTCCCGGGCCACCCCAGGGCCTCGTTGGGCCTGATGCCTCCCTCGGCAGCTGCCACGGGCTCACCCCTTTCCCGAGAGCCCCTTCCCTTAACCGGAGCGGAGGGCTCATCACCTGGGCCTGGCTGTTGGGCAGGATGAGACCTTCGCCTTGCCGTGGGGGCCAAGGGAGGCGCCAGAGTTCTGGGCTCCGGGGGCGGGAGGTGTCCTTCTTCCCCAGCGGGTCCGAGGGGCAGAGGCTCACCTGGGCACAGACGGCCTCTGGTTTCTGAAGATAGGAAAGGTGGAGAAATAAACCATGACCGGCTGCCCTATCCTGGGGAAAGGTGTGTGGGGGGGGCACATTGGAGGTCTGTTCCCTGTGAAAGAGGGGAGGGGGGTGCGGGAAATGAGCCAGAAGGCTTGCCCAGGTGTGCTTCCCGCTGGGGCACTCTCCTGGTGCTGCTCACAGGGGGCGCCGAGCGGCGGCTTGAGGGTCTCTGGTCTCCCTCCCTCGGACTGTTCTTTGGGCTCTTGCTCTTCCCGTCGGATGGCCCTCCAGTCAAGGATCCTGCCCCACCAACAGCTGGAGAGTGTGGGGCCACTCCAGAGCAGGATGGGCTCCCCTTTGCTTCCTTTGTGTTGTCCCCCCCCCAGTTCTACCTCCCCCGCTTCCAGAGTCGACTCCATCCTGGGGGGTGAAGCAGCCGCTTGGCCTGCATCCGGGAAGTCATGGCTTACCATCTGTTCTTCCAGGCTGGCAATTAAGAGCCCGTAGTAGGTGTCCACCAGGGCCTGGCAGCGGGGGACCAGCGTCTGCAGTGGCAAGGTGGTGCATTCGTTCTCCAAATACTTCTGGATTTCTTTCTGCACAGAACAGGGGAACGTGAGCAGTGGAGAGGGCTGCCAGGGGAGGGGCAGAGCCTTCTCCCGGATGCCAAGATCTGCTTTCAGGGTTGTCAGCCTGACTTCTGCACCCAGGGGCAATGAGAATCAATTAAAATCTTTTTGTTTGTCTAAAAAGAGGACACCCGGTGGATTTGGAAGCAGAGGGGGTGGGGTGGGGGTTTGCAGGAAACCAATGATTTAATCACGGATGTTGAATTGAAGTACATACAAACCCCAGGAGCCTTGCCCTTCTGCAAGAGGTGTTTTTCCTTCCTTGCCCCCTTTCTCTCACACCCGGGGGGCGGGGAGTGTGGCACACCTGCTCCTTTTCAGATAAGGTGCCTGCTGCCGTGCAAGGGGCAGGAGGTGGGGTACAAGCACCTTCGAAACGATGGTTTCATTTGGATAAGCACAGGATTCGTTTGCTCCATTCAGACCCGTGGGCGATTAGTCAGCTATCAGACTGGGAAACCCAAGGAAGCTGCTCGCAGGAGAGAACAGGCCCTTTTTCCTTGAGTGGCCCCCCCATGAGAAAGGAGCAAACCCCACCGCCCCTGAGCTTTGGGGAACCCCAAGAGTAGCTCCAGAGACCTCCAGACTCTTCCTCTCCCAGAATCACCTTGAAGCTGGACTCCTTGGCGATGCGGATGAAAAGGGTGACGATCTGTTTACAGTCTGCACAGGTGTCCTCCTGGGGGAAAGGCGAGGCGGTCCATCAGGCAAGGGCAGCCCCAGCAAGGGGCGGGGGTCCGGGGGGGCTTGGCCCAACGGCCGAGACCCTGCCCGCCTCTCCCTCAAGCTCTCCTCGCCTTGTCCCACGCGCAGGCCCTGCAGCTGCCTTGTCCCCAGGTCTCCCGTCTTTCCCCCCCCCGTCCTTCCTCCTGGCTGCCACACGCAAAGAGGGCACAGGGAGAGGCCTGGGTTGGGCGAGGGTGGGGGCAAACGGGGATAGACACCTACATTGATGGCAGGGCCCCATCCTTTCTGCATGCAGTGGTCCAAAGCGCCACACTGGATAGCCGTCACCAGACTCCTGCACCAGTATGTGGGGCCCTTGGCACATCCGTCCTCCCCAGGGATCTTCCTGGCCAAGGCTAGAAAGGAAGGGGAAACGCTTTGGTATGGACACAGCTGCCAGATGGACAGAAGGACGTCTGGGAGGGAGATACGCTGCCCAGGACCTCAGGGGGCAGGCTGGTGCCTCCTCGGCAGGACACAGGCAGCACCCCACTCCTCTCTCACACACAAGGTTTGAACCCCCATCTGCCCAGCCAGATCCAGTCCGGCACCGGCACCAGCAGCAGCTAATTCCTGCTCTGTGTACTTGTAGAGCGCTTTGCACAGACCATCTTTGCACGGCCCCGGATGGACAGAAGGACGTCTGGGAGGGAGATCCGCTGCCCAGGGCCTCAGGGGGCAGGCTGGTGCCTCCTCAGCAGGACACAGGCAACACCCCCCCCCCTTCTCACACACAAGGTTTGAACCCCCATCTGCCCAGCCAGATCCAGTCCGGCACCGGCACCAGCAGCAGCTAATTCCTGCTCTGTGTACTTGTAGAGCGCTTTGCACAGACCATCTTTGCACGGCCCCGTCATCTGCTGCCTCCCTGTTGCCCACGCGGGGTCCTGCGGAAGGGGGACAGAGCTCAGACTGTCACTTGGGGCGAGCGTAGTCTGCCAGGCTGCGCTTTGGAGGAATTCGCAAAGAACCTGCCCTTTCCGTACGGCCAGCAGAAACATTCACAACCCCTGCACCAATCTCGAGTATTTTAGGGCTGGCATTTTGGGGTCTATGAATTGTTAGGATCAGGAACGAACCCAGGAACGAACAAAGGCAGCTACTTTTACTGTCGGGAGATAGTCTGCCCATTTATCAGGAGCACTGCTCTTCAGTAGACAAAGGCTTTCTAGAAAACGGGGGAATTAGAGGTAGGTTTTAGGGTGGAAAAGGCACTAGGAAAAGGGTTATCCCAGGGCCAGACTCTGAGGCCAGCCCAGCTGGCCATTGGGGCCCTCCAGGGGTTCTAGCAGGAGCTTTGTTTAAACACGCGTGCACGCCCGCCCAAGACACACACCACAAAGCAAGATCTCCTAGTCCTCTTGAAGGAGGGTGTGGTTCCAAACTGGAGCCAAGCAGGAGCACTGCTCTTCAGTAGACAAAGGCTGTGGTTCCAAACTGGAGCCAAGGGACCTGCCTCCCTTCCCCAGGCTCAGAGCCTGCAGGACCCTGCACAACCGGGGGAACTGAGGCAGGCGGTTCGCCACACCCCACCCAGAGCTACAGCTTCCCTTCACACACACCCCCATAGAAACACCCCAGGCCAATGACTGGTGCCCTTCATTTGCTTCAGAGGCACTCAAAATGCGAATTCTATCTGTAACGTCTAGGAGATAAAGGTTCCCGCGAGGGAGAGAATGAAAGACTGTCCTCCACGAGCGGAACCTCAAGTCGGGATGTGGCGAAAATCCCCGGAGAGGCTCCTCGTTCACCTGCCTGATCCGTGGGACAAACCTCCCGGTTTCCGTGAGCATCCTGGCTGACGCTAAACGCTACCCCGGAGGGGGCTCACCTGGGGTGCCGCACAGCAGGGCGAGCAGGAGCAGCTGCCACATGGCGGAGGGAGGCGTTGAGGGACAGGGCTGGACGGGGACATGCCAAGGGCTTCGGAGGGGCTCTTTTTATCCTTGGGCTGGCCAGAAGGACGTGGAAGAGGGGCAGTGGAGCCCAGCCAATGGGGGAGGCCTCTGGGCACCCCTCCCAGCCCCAAGCATCAAGTGACTGGCCTCTTGAGTTTCGGTCTGACTCAAGCTTGTTTTCCTTCTCGGAAGAGGGGCCACCTTGGAGATCGAAGGCAGGGAGCCTTCCCTGGGAACAAGGCGGCCTGCTCGCTCATCCTGCTGGCCCATGTCGGGGCTTGGGCAAAGCACCGCAGTGTGGGTTGGGATTTGCTAACGCCTGGTGCCCCGTTTGCATTCACAGCCCTGCCGGCCCTGGAAATCCCTCGCCCCTCACTCAACACCGGCTGTTTTCCTTTGGTGCATCTGTGCCAGCTGTTGAGCCTGGAATGGGCCATCCCTGCACTCATCTTTCACAGAGCATCACTCTCTCCCCATCTCCATCCTTCTCACTCTCTCTGGAGATGCTGGTAGGAGGTTCCGGGAGTTTTAGTCTTAGCAGGTAACATTTCCGGGATGTGGTTACGACAGCCACGGGCCCCTCTGCTCAAGGTCCACAGATCAAAAATGCCTTGTGCTTATGTGGAACTTCTCGACGTTCAAAGAACATCACATATATCCTCTCAGGTCATGAATGTAGTCGCCTTGCCAGGCCTATGTAGCTGAAAGGGCCTCTGCTTCTCTGTCGACCCTCTGGCGTCTCCCCTCGCGCTCTCAGGGGGAGCAGGTGGGAACTGAGGAAGGCGGAGACCTTTCCAGGGACAGCAGCCCACCTTTGACAAATCCCTCCCCAGAGAAGTCACTTACTTTTATCTTTTTTGATTCCAGAAGACACAGGACACGCAGACATGTACGATAACAGCACTGTGAAAATTGAGGAAAGTCAAGACCAAAGTTGAGACTCTTGGGACCAGAAGATGTCCATTAACCACCTACTTTGGAGAGGCCAGTTTGAGGAAACCTGCTTTACAACGTGTGTGTGTGTGTGTGTGTGTGTGTGTGTGTGTGTATGTGTGTGTGTGTGTGTGTGTGAGAGAGAGAGAGAGAGAGAGAGAGAGAGAGAGAGAGAGAGAGAGCGGTGGGGGGGTAACCAAGGAAGGCAAAATGAGTTAAAGACCAAGGGATTCAAGATAAAACGCAGAAGGTTAGAATACTTTGGCCGCCTAACGAGAAACAAGGATTGCAGAAGGTTTGTTTTACTGGGTAAAATAAACGAAGAAATGCAGGAAGGACAGGACTGGATGAGTGGAAGAAAATGAGAAAAAGGTTTGGATGCAACACCTCAGCCTTTTCTATAGCTGATGGATCCAGAGTCCAAGTCACCCTGAGGCACTCCAGTCTCCAGCAGGAAGCGGAGGAAGAGGCAGAAAGAGAAGCCGAGGAGCCCGTGTTGAGGGAGCGAGGGGCAGAAGGGAAGGGCCCGTCCCTGGTAAAGTCTTGCCGGGCTGTCAGTGGTGGGCACACGAGCGGAGCTCTCGACTGTGGCCCAAGCAAAGGGGATGAAACTTGTCGGTGAGGGTAGAAACTCAGGCCACATAAACCCAAATTATTTAAGGCTTTAGGCTTCAAAGGCTGAGCTGACCCCCATCTCTGCTCTCAAGGTAACCACTACCACGCCCAACATTTTAGCTGGGGTGCCGTTCCATTCAGTCCAGTTTGCTAACTCTGCTGGTGTCGTACGTTGCTGCCAACAAGGCTGAGAGGTGTTTCACTGAAAGAGAATGTCTTTCATGCCTCTGAAGCTGATCCACAGACAGAGAAATAAACACCTCCATCACCATCCATACGCCAAGGTAGCCTCCAGCTGTGGAAGTGTGGGGCTGAAATGCACAAGGGTGCTCCTTTGTCTAAACGATCAGATTATGAAAGATGGAATGAAGACGCCACCTGACATTTCTCAAAACGGAAACCAGTTGATTGGCTACTGGGAAATAATGAATATTTCTTCATTGACTTCAATGGGTAATATGCTATAAAATACTTGTTACTGCTGCTAAACAATGACCTGAATATTGATACTGCTGGTATCATCCTTTTTATACACCTTGGTATCCGGCCTTTTTAAAAAATTGAAACAGTGTATTATTTGGATGAAGCAGAGGGAGTCACGCCAGGCCATGTTGGGAGCAACGCCTGGACCAGAGGTTGGCTGGGTCAAGTCTGACCACCGCCACCACCACTGAAGCTACGCACCTCTGAGGACTGAGGGTCTGCAGAGCTAATTCTGTTTTTTTCCCCTGGTGCCACACAATTTCTCACCCAAGTTGAGTGTTTGCTCCTGGGATGCTGGCGCCAACCCCCTCAAGTTGCAGAAGCCAATGGTGGTGGTGGGGAGGCCGAGAGAACAGGTATTGGAGGGGGGGGGACAGCAGAAGCCGTGCATTCCAGAGCAGGGGATGGGCAAAAGCCGTGCGTCGTAGGACAGATTGTCTCCCACGAGGATGAATGTCAGCCTCGGTCCTTGGCTCAGCTGCTCCTCCAGATGAGTGGGACTCTTGAAATGGGCTCATGCAGCTGAGCAAACAGGACCTGAATGGAGCCATTCAGCACTCCCCCGGTGGGTGAGGCCTTGGAGGGCCATTGGCACCCTGTCTTTCTCCTTCTCTCCTTCTTTCTCTCTCTCTCTCCCCACTCACTCCTGGGAGGAGCAGGCTAGGATGGGCTCTTTGCCAGGACATTCAGGGACACTCCAGTGAGGGCGGCCCGCTTGCTTCCTTTCGCCAGGCTGTCCAATACATTTTGACTTAAAATGGCACCCTCTTGAGCCATCTGCATCTGAAGACATTTTCCAGGATTAATTTCTAAAACAAATGGACATTGTGTATTGTTGTTGTTTAATCGTGTCCTACTCTTCGTGACCCCACAGACCAGAGCACGCCAGGCCCTCCTGTCTTCCACAGCCTCCCAGAGTTTGGTCAAATTGTGTATACCTCAGCACAAAAGACAGACACGGAACCTCCAATGCCAGCAAGGCACAGCCTAGAAAGAGAAAAGGAGCAGGGCAGGCAGAGTATCAGAAGGGAGGCGTTTTTAAACAGGTATTTCAAATATTCAGCTTTTGAAAAGGTATACGAGGGTGGCAGACTGCGTGTGTTGGCTCCCAGCTTGCCATAGCTGACCAAATTTCTCACATGAAGCAGCGCCATGAAATGCTAACGTGCCCCACTGATTTTCATGAGCTCTGTGTCTGGGTGACTTGGCACAGATAAAAACCTGCCCTCTCAGCAGGGATGGAGACAGAATTGCTTTGCCACAACATGTCTTTCACACAGGACGAGCCCTTGCACCGGGAGCATCCCTACAAACGGGGCATCTCATCCCTCCGTTCCCACAGACAGGAGGAGTGGAGTGGAGTGGTTGCTGGCTTCGGTGGAGAGCTACAGGTTATTCCTTTCCATTTGGAATGTAAATGTTTATTTTACTTGACATCTGCTGTTTATATGCATCACTATTCAGACCACTCTGGGCAGTTCACAACAAAATAAACAGCAATAGCACATTAAGTAATATCCACATAAACATAACAATATTTCCATATTTGAACTATGTCTTTGTAAAAGGGAGAGGGCATAAGCCGGCAGAAGAATCAATGTATTCTTGGAGTGGAATGGGGTGAAAAGAGGTCAAAAGTATATATTTGGTTATCTGGTCCCAAGGATGATGGTGGCACGGGGGTGGGGGGCAGGATTTTAGTAGTATTGTATGGTATGCATGTACACACATTTATGTTAGCTTTATTATTGTTTTTCTTTAATAAAATTTAAAAAACATAGCAACATAAAAATCAGAATAAAAATCTATCAATCAATTAAACTTAACAAGAAAAAAACAACACAGAAAACTGTTAATAAAAGCAAGATGGCACACCTGGTAACTTAAAGGCTGCAAGAATCCTTGCACTCTGCTGATGTAGGATCTTGAAATGCCTTTCGGAATAGCCAGGTTTTCAAGAGTCTCTTAAAAGTCGCCAGCAAAGGGGGCGGATGAATTCTTGGGCCGGAGACTGTCCCAAGGATGTGGCGCAATTGCCGAGCAGGCCCCGCTTCTTCCTGGTCTTCTCTTTCTGGGCCTCTCTTGGGGTCAATGACCTCCACCGTCCAGCCTGGGATGGTCAAGCAGGTTGGGAAGGAGGTGTTCGGCCAGGTATCCAGGAGAGTAAGGATAATCTGAAACCCTTTGGGGAAGAGGCTGAGACTTGGCCAATATTTCTGTGTGCCCTCCAGTCAGTTCCAGCTTGCAGTGACCATGACAGGTTTTGGTTTTTTTTTTTTTAAGCCAAAGGAATAGTTTGACCAGAGCCTTCCCTGCCGCCACGAGCCCCCAGGCAGCGCTGCCCGGCCAGCAGGGCACCCACCCACCTGCCCGGCCACCGTGTGCCCGCATGGCAGGGAGCCACCCTGATGCCCGGAGAGGCTTTGAGGGAGGAGCCGGGGCTCCTTATGGGCAAGCCTGCATCGGGCTTCTCTCTCAGGGGGACAAAGAACGACTTGCGTTTCCCATCTCTCAGAGGGGTGTTTGTTTGTTCCTTTATAGTGTTTGCACAGTTCTTGAGTTAGCTGTAAATGCTGTCTTTTAATTATATAAACCACTGTCCCACACTCATTGTTTTCTGCTTTAAATTCTGTCTCTCAAGCATGTCAGCTGCCTTGGGTCCTTTTTAAGGACAAAGGTGGGGTAAAATGTTTTTAAGTACATAAATAAAAGCACTCCTTCCCCCCTCCCCCTCCCGCTCTGCCCGGGCCTCGATCCGGCGGCCCTTCGGTCCCTGCCTTCCTCGGCGCCGGGGCCTGTTTTTCAAACCGAACAGCTGGCCGGGAGGGGGCGGGGCTGGACCCGCTTCCCATTAGCCCGTCGGGCGTGGGCGGGGAGAGAGGCAGCAGAAAGAAAGAAAGAAAGAAAGAAAGAAAGAATGAATGAATGAATGTATGAATGAATGAATGAAAGAAAGAGTGGAACAATTGAAAAAAGAAAACAGGCAGGCAGGCAGGCAGGCAGGAAGGAAGGAAGGAAGGTAGAAAGAAAGAAAGAAAGAAAGAAAGAAAGAAAGAAAGAAAGAAAGAAAGAAAGAAAGAAAGAAAGAAAGAAAGAAAGAAAGAAAGAAAGAAAGAAAGAAAGAAAGAAAGAAAGAAAGGGTGGA